CTTCACATTTGAGACTCCGGCCATTCTGGGTTCAGCCACTTCCTCCTTTTGCCTGCAGATGGGTAGCAACTCCTTTTTATTTGTTGAGTGTGTAAATAACCTAGAGATTCAGTCTGCTCCTAGAAAATGCAAAGAGCAGAAGTGAAATAAGGAAGTGGATTTTCACTGTGCATGTTCATTCTGAGCTTGGAGGTTTTTCTCGTCCGTGAGTCTGATTCTTACCGAGGACTGCTTGCTGGTGTTTGGAAAGCACTCAGCATCACTTAAGACTGCCAGAGCCTGAGCCCTTGAAGAAGCTGGAGCTTGCCACTCCTTTGTTTTCATTCATTGCGGAGCTCTGTGGTGTGTTAAGAGGCTAGGGCAAGAAGTCACAAGCTGTGGGTCCTGACAGTAGTTACCCAGCCTCTGGGCTGCTTTGTCTGTGAAAGGAGGAGGTGGACCAGATGGCTGCTGGGAATCCCAGTAATGGCCCCTCTGGATGAAGCAGGAAGTTGCTAATAGGGAGGTCATTAAGAGGCTTGGTGACTCAGCCTTGGGGACTAGGGGAAGACAAACTCCCTGAGGTCCTGGTCAGGAATCAGAGCTGCCAGACCAAGCTTCCTCTCAGCCTTTATTTCCGAATCATCTTATGAGCTCGCCCACCACTCCACTCGCCTCTGCACTCACTAAGCCCTGGCTGGAGAGGAAGTGCAGCGGAGCCAGGGCCCCCCTGTGCCCCAGCTCCAGCCACGCACAGGACGCGGAGTCCAGTGGACAGGGGAGTGGGAGCCAGCGGCGGGCCTGCTCATAAAGGATTATAGTGGGCATTCAGAGGCAGCGTTCCTTAGCCGCTCACCTTTGCTCTCTGTGGATAAATGCTCCTCATCTTCTATTTTATATATGGGGTGCTGAGGGCCGGAATGGGAGAATGGAGGACAAGGGACCACAGTGGGAATCATCACATTGCTGTTTAGAAATGAAGACCCTGAACCCGTATCTGGGACCAGCTAGGGTCCCAGCCATGGTGACAGACTCCGTCTGAGGGAAACCACGCCCTGATAGTCCCCTCTAAGTTTTTTCTCCTGTGCAAGCTCACATCACACTGCTTTGTTGATGTGGCTGCATTGCTTAGTTTTTGTCTCTTTCCTTGAAATACTTGGGGTGGAACCTCGGGTCCCGCACATGCTCGGCAAGTGCCTACCACCGGGATGCGTCTCCTGCCCTTCTGATTTTGAGACAAGTTCTCGCCAGGTTGCCCAAACTGAGCTCAAACTTATAATCTCCTTCCTCAGCCTCCAGAGTAGCTGGGATTACAGGCGTGCACCACTCTCCCCGATCGGGCTGTTCTTAACCATGATTATTTTTGTTTCTCAGTCCTTGCCCAAAAGCTACTGAGTACTGAGGTGATGGCTCTGTAGAAAACTCGAGCTAGATCTCCAAGAAAAGAAAGCAGCTCTTCCTGTCACTTAGTCTCAAAAGAAAGCAGAGCCATTGTGGAGGGCTAAAAAGATTTGGTTTTCCACTTCTACCTACAGTCACATGGGTGCTCATTTGTGAAATCGTTCACTTGTAAAGTGAGCCACCCGTTAGTGAGGAAGAGCTGCTCCCGCTAATTGGCGGACTGGAGGGGAGAGCAGCATAGTTAGAGGTTGGAGTAATGGACCAGGTGCCCTTGACTTCTATTTCTGGTTCTTTCACTAACTTGCTGTGTGGCCCTGGGCGGTTTCACCTCAGTTCTCTGGGCCTCGCTTTCCCCAGGAAATTTTTCCACTTATTCTTTGTGGAAGATCCGGGATGATCAAAGAAGCAGTGTTTGCAGAGCTTCTTAAAGATGCCTGGATGGTGGTTTAATAGATATTAATTGATAAATCCTTTGATTATTGATAGAGCTATATAGTTGAGCTTTTAATTAGCTCCTTGGGCCTAATATGCCCACAGGAATTACACAGTCCTAAGGCAACTGGCCAGGTCCGGCGATGATCATTAGGAGTGTGTGATGCCACTGCATATGGAGTCGCAGAGCACCGAGATGTCTTTCCACAGTGGCAGGGATTTGGTGGCTGCCCTGATAGCCAGGTCCGGGGAACCCGCCGTGCAGGTGCACGCAGGAGAAGCCCAGCTCTCCCTAGTGAGGGGAAGAAGGCAAGACAGAGACCCTTGTTTGTTGTATGCTTATTGTTTCTGTTCTGCCAGCTTCGAGCAGCGTTCAGGGTCCTAAGCTGTGAGGTGCAGGGGTGGAAATTGCCAGCCCCCTGAAGGCAGAGCAGGGCCCTTACAGCGGGCACCGTGGCCCTGCCCACCCGCACAGCTGCTCCTGCCGCTCTGCCCTCATTGCCTTCGCAGTCCTGCCCCTGGGTGCCCAGCTCTGCCCTCCCGGTCAGTGTGAGGACAGGATCACCTGCCAGTGTCCCCGTGTGTGCCTGTCCTTCTGTCTGTGCAGCAACCCAGTCCGGAAAACCACCCACTCGTTCACCTGGCTCCCACTTTCCCTTCTCAGTGTTTCAGATGAAAATAAAAAACATCAAAATCTGTGCTCAGAGCAGACTTGGAGGGGAATCCACTGTTCTGCACCCCAGTACAAATGTCTGCAGGGACAGGACACCATCCTGGGGCCTTGCCTGGGAGTCAGGGCTCCAGCGTTGACCGCAGACAGCAGCAGCCAGAGGCAGGAGCCCCCGCCGCCCCCCGCCCAGGGCAGCCCAGATGGCTTTGTTTGGACCCTTGGCAGACGTGGCTCTCTGCAGCAGCAGGGACCACTCAGAGCGGTGTGTGTTTCATTTCACAAGGAGGGAAGGAGCAGGAGTTGCCAGGGAACCAGCCCTCTGCCTTGTGCTAAGTGGGTCTTTGTCAGGTGGAGCAAGGGCTTCAAGTCACAGACACTAGAGGCTTTTCCTCACAACACGCTCACCCCAGCTGTGGTGCCCTTTCCTCCTTTGGGGGGGCTGCCCGGCAGACACAGTGGGCCCTTTCCCCAGGCCGCCGAGCCCAGCCAGCACCAAGCCAGGACTCTGCCCTGGGCATGGCAATGTGGGGCCCTTGATGAAACCGGCTCGGGAATTTGAAGACAGCGCAGCAGCAGAGCATTGGACCACAGGCCCAAGAAGCCAGGCCTGACCACGCCCCACCTGGGCTGGTCAAGGCGGGGAAGAAAGAGCAGGGAAGGGAGATCTTTTTAATGACTCATGTTTCCAGCACACAAATAATTTTCTTCTTCTAAACCCCAAGTTAGGAAATTTGAAAATTATTCTGGTTGCCTACAGTTACTCTTTTATTGGCCGGGATTTGGGACCAGAACAATGAAGAATCCCAGGAAGAGCTGAGTTTGTTGAGTGCTTGCTTTGGGCCAGTGCTATGTGAGGGATCTGTTACTGCCACGCTCTACCTTGAGGGCCCCAATTGCCCTTTTACAGATGGGGAAACTGAGGCCAAAGGGAATGCTGCATGTGCCTTGCCTAAGGTCCAGCAACTTGAATGTCTGGGAGCCTGGCTTCAGACAGGCCTTGGTGCCTGGCCGGGTTGCTGTGTGTCCTGCCCGCAGGTTAGACGAGTCATGGAAGCGGTCAGATCTGGTGTTTTGTGGCTGTGAAGTTCAGGTGAAATCCATAAATACCTGGCCCTCAGGGAGTAGAAGACCTTCGGGTGTTTTCACAGGGAGATTGGAAGTAGCAGAGCTTCCCCTCCATGGCCGCCTGAGATGCAGAGTTGTGCATCTAAGTAATAAAGGTCCTTCGGGGAGGAGGCAGCAGTGGCCAGGACACAAGGCGTATGTACCGGTGCTCGGCTTTAGCTCACTCGCTGTCCTTGAGCTTGAAAAAGAAGCCTGTTTCCCCGAGCTTCAGAGTGAAATGCACTCGCACTCGGAGCCCAGGACAAGAAAGAAGTAGCTGTAACAAGAGACAGTAGGCGCCCTCCTTCCTGTTACTTATGCAGACAAAATGGCTTTGAAATTCCAGTGAGGAGGCTGGGAAGATAAAAGAATGCAGCCCTTCTAGAAACCGGTCTCTATTCCAGCCCCGTTTCACTTGGGCAACAAACCTATCGGCCAAGCGTTCACAAGGGGCACCCTGGGCCTGGGGACGGGTGGACGGCACAGGACTGACCCTCAGGTCTAGGGCGGAGGGCACACAGGCAGGTCGGGGCAGGCGAAGAACGAGCCTCCAAAAAGCATTCTGCAACCCAGCGGGCAGAGAAAGGGGATCCTGGGAAAAATCCGCCATTCCCAGGGCAAGAATAAGATTCCTCCTCTGCCTTCTTCAGCAGAATGAGCCCCGTCCATAGACTCGGGGCCGGGCACACTATCTATCGGTGTAAACGCAATCACATGGGCGCAAAACTGTCCTGCGGCTCTTCCAGGGGGCTAAGTAACTTTCGCTTTCATGCAGCAAGAGGAGCCCCATCCGTACAGCAGGGGGGGCGCCCTGATTGCTTCCCAGCTGAGGGGTTCGCTGGTCCTCCTGGTGCCGCCGGGGACGCTGGCTTCTCTTTGCGCCGGGCTCGCACTGGGATCCAGAGCTGCCTGCCCGCTCGCTCGCTCGCTCGTCCGGCAGCCTCCGCCCGCCCTCAGCTGCAGAGGGCTGGCACATTAGCGACAGGAAGTGGAGTCCCGCTGGGAGGCTGGGAATCCGACCGCCTTCCCAGTGCAGCCTGGCCGGGAGGAAGCGGCCGCCGCTCCCTCTGCGCACCCCGCTTGGCGCTGCCCCTCCCCGCCCGGAGGGAAAAGTCTGCGGTGCTGGGAACTGTCCGGGAAGCCGACAAAGGCACACCCGAGGGGAGCACGGGAAGAACTTGGTCTGCTCCGTTAAGAAGCCTCCTGCAGGAGAATCCACACCCACGGAGCCTGGTGTTGAACCGAGGGCTGCTGTGGTGAGTGTGTATGTTTCCACATGAGGCAAGGAGGCGCAAAGGACCGCACAGTCTGCTCTGATAAGGAAACTGCCAGCTGTCGAAAGTTAACCGGGAACAAGGGCAGTGGCCAGCAGAGCCAGCTCTCCTGAGCTTAAACCGCACTGTTTTCTGTCCAGATATTCCAATGGAGGCAGCTGGAAAACCTGTATTTCAGAGAAAAGAAGTTCTCCGTGGAAGTTCATGACCCCCGAAGGTGAGTGAGGGGTCTTTTTCTGGTGTATTAATTAGAATCCGGTGTTTGTGCTGCCCCTGTTCACGTTGGGTTTGGGCAAAGGGAAAGAGTTCAAATCAGACAGTAAAGCTTTGTTTGGTATACATGTGTGGGTGCATGCCATGAGTCCAGCCGTGTGTGTGTGTGCGTGCGTGCGTGTGTGTGTGTGTGTGTGTGTGGTGCACTGCGGCACTGGAGGAAAACTTTGTTTATGGCCCTTTAAGTTAAACTGGGCAGTGGCCTGAGTCCCTTTAGGAAGTTTTTCCAGAGCAGAGGTGGAAGACTTCCTTGTCAGAGCTCCTGAAAGACCCAGGCAGGACAGTCACACGGGAAAGAATCCGTCACCAAACCAGTGTGTCTGATTGTTCTACCCCGAGAGCTGGGATCCTAGGATGTCAGCACTGTGAGTGGATGCGAAGAAATACAGTCAGGTTCCCTCCACCCGCACTGAACCCGAGAGCACGGGGTGGAAATCCACATTCTAAGTGAGATGCCAGGCAGTAGTAGGGCTACCGGCTGGCCAGCAAGGAGGGGTCCGCAGCCCCTGCCCTCTGCCTCCTCTCCGTCTGCTGGCCATCCTGGTCCTAAAGTCGTAGCAGCCTGGAAGCTCAGCACCTTTCCCTAAACCCGGCCTGAGAGCAGACTGACAACACCAAGGTAGCCCTGGGAAGACGGTGGAAGACTGGGCTGTGAGGAGGGAAAGGTGCTACTGACACCGTCCCGGGCTCTGGGCTTGGGAGGGAAAGGCGGCCGGCGCCTCCAGCGGCTCTGAGCTTGGAAAGAAGCTGAGGCTTGTGCAGTAGCCTCCCTCCCTGCAGCCCGAGGTAATGCTGGGGCAGAGGCACTCACAGTCCTGTGCCCTGTAAAATGCAGGACACAGCCTCTCGGGGGCGAGGACCCATCCCTGGCACTCGAAGCTGCGTCTGAGTCAGGCGCAGAGGGTAGCGGTCAGCAGAAGGGTCGCTGGTCCTGGTGCTGCAGGTCCCGGCTGGGTTTCCCACCCCAGACCCTCTGCAGAGCCCTCGGGATCCATCCACAGGGCCACAGAGGAGACGTGGCTGCCAAAGATAACAGCCCAGCCTAGAAGCCGCTGTTACTTTTCCAGGTGAACTCTGTGGGACCAGAGTCTTAGGCAGATGAGAGGAGGAGAAACTTCCACGTAAAAAGGGTGACATGAATTCTGCCACAGTGGGTAGGTGCAGAAGGGGACGCTGACAGTAAAAACTAAACAAAACTTGGATCGTCAGGGGCCCGGCACAGGGACAGACAGACCCCCTGCCTGTGGTGTGTTGGGAGCTCTCCTAGCTGGGCACCTTAGACAAACCCCTCACGTGTGTGTCACATGTGTATGCCTGTGTGCACGTGTGTGGGCCGTGTGTTCTCTCTCCGCCTGTCATCCTGTCGGTGATGTAGAACTGAATTCCCTTCCTTTCCCCAACATCTAGACATACAGGAAAGAGTCCAATCCTCGAGTTACCTGAAGTGGGCCTTGAGTTTACACCAAAGGGCTCGTTCCCACACGTGTTGAGAGCCTTGTGTGTCCCGGACGTGGTGGATGTGACAGGGTCTAGAAGGGAGATTGAGAGCACTTCTCGCAGACTTGGGGAGCCCAGCCGCAGGAGGACCTGGCCCTGAGGGTGTCTTGCATGTGTAGTCACTGCTCTAAACTGGCCCTCTCACCAGGTCCTCACTTTGACCCAGCGCACAGGCCCGTTCCTGTTCTGCATGTGGGCAACTGGGGCACAGAAGTGACTTGACCACTCTGGGTTACAAAGCTAGTATGCGGTACGGGCAGGATTGCAACCCAGGAAGCCTGAGCCAGTGCTCAGACACTTTCCCGCTTCCTGTGCACAGGGAGGGCCTACTAGTGTCTTCCCAGCAACTGTAGGGTGTACCAGGTGCCCAAGGGCACAGGCTGACACAGACACCCAAGCCCAGCTGGGCAGGAGAGGCCTCCTGGGCAGGGCCATCTGAACAAGGCACAAAGGAAGCCTTGGGCACTCAAGGAGCTCAGGACATCAGGGGGGTGCTGCTCTCCTGAGGCAGCCAGGTGAGGGGGAGCCCACGCGTGGTATGACTGTCTCTCCTCCGGAAAGGGGCACTGAGGACACCATGCTGTCCTGAGGTGGGCAGAGGCAAGGAGAGGGCCCCAGGGAGGTCGGGGTGGAAGCCCACATTGACTGCCACTGGAAGACACCTTCCCCGTTGCCCATGGGAAGGCATTGCTTCGGTCAGCTGCCAGGCCTTCTGACTCAGGGAGTTACCTCCTCCCCGCCTGGTTGGATGTGCCATCCTACTGCTCGTGGCCTGCTTATTTGGAACAGGGAATGTTTGTCTCATCCACTGGCTGTGCGTGGTGTGCAGGGTCGGCTGTTCCTGTGGGCGGGGAAGGGAGTCACAGCCTTGTTATCAGGGTGGAACAGCCAGCTGCTCTCAGACAACAGCGACCTTGGTGGGAAGCTGTGGTGCAGGCACATCACCCAGGGACAAGGGTGCTTTCTGAGGAGATCAAGACAGGCCAGATCCAGCCTTTCCCCACAGTCCTTCCCCGGGGGGACACAGGACAGGCAGTGCACTTTGTCCTGCTGTACAACTGAACTCCATGGCTACCCTTGATTTTGCTATTCCGTAGGTTTGACAAACACTGTTGCACTTGCGAGGCTCAGAAAAAACAGAAAAATGGAGGGGGGCGGGGAGGGCCTGAAGGGGGAGATGAGTGGAGGAGATAAATCACTAATGGGCCTGGAGAAAGGCTGGAGAGCATCTGATGCAGATGCCTCCACGGAAACAACTCTCTTCTCAGGCACGACGAGTCACCTGACTCTTGCTTACTCGCCCTACCTGAAAAACAGAAGCCGTGGCCTCAGCCAGTGCAAAGAGACATTCAACTCACCTTTCTTCTCTGCTCCAGCTTTTCGGGGGCTGGGGGCAGTGGCATTTACTCCCAGGAGGAGCAATTGTCACGGAAGCCAGACCGGGAGGCCATCTTGGCTTCTTTCAGTGGGATCCCTCCTCACTCCTTGTCTGCTTGCTCTTCAGTTATTTTCAACTGTGCTCTTTCATGCTCTGGCATCTTTTCCTTGAGTTTGAACCAAAGAGAGGAAAAACCTGCCTAGGGTCAGGTTTCTAACCACTAGATTTGAATTCTCCTTAAAAGAGGGTATGAAGAAGACCTACTATGAAATCTTTTATTAGAGTAAGATGATAGGAGTGGCTTTAAGTTTTCCTGAGGGAAAAATAGGCTGTGAGAAAAATGCCACTATTCACAAGTCCTGATAACCCTACATTTCTTCCAACTTAGCTGTCTTAATCTTGAGAACAGACATTGTCCTTCTGACATGCAGGTCAGATTCCCCAGTCCCACCCCGCCCGCCCCCCCCACACACACACATGCAAACACGTGTTCTCAGGTTTCATTTGTTCTCACATGTAATCGGCCTCTCCTGTGAAATACACTTCACTAAGGACATACCCATGTAACTCCTTCCCCCCACCGAACTCCGTGAATGCGTGAATGACGTTGAGATTAGGGCTTCCTTTCATTGTTCAGCTCTGCTTCATTCTACTCCATGGGTGCATTCTCCTTTCAGGCTTTCCTGTGTTTACTCCAAGCCTGGGCAGGCTGCCCGGCCCCTTTCTCTCTGCCTCCCAATTGTCACAGCCTCCCTGCTGCCTGAACGTATTTGAAATTGATAAGCAGACTGATGTGGCCAAGAGTGTGCTCATCTTCACCATAGATGGTGCTGCCCCGTTCATAAAGAGCATTGTTGGAGGCCTTTCCGGTCTCTGAGGTTTGTCTGGGCTCAGTCCCAGGAGCTGAAGATCAGAAAGGACCACCCAGTAACCTGGAATGACCCACTTCCAAGGCAGAGGCTTAGCCGAGTTCTGAGCCCTGGGGAGTCAGCTCCTCCACATGCACACGCGCATCCCTGCATGTGCACCTATGTCTGTGTGAGCGCATCTGTCACCTTCGTGCCAGGTAGTGGGCCCACCCAGTGGGTACTCACTGAAAGCTGCTGACTGACGAGTCTCTCCTTCACAAGCGAGGTTGAGACTTGCAATCCGTGCCTCCCCAGGGCTTCGGTGACGCGGAGGACATTCGGGCACAGTGGCATCGCGGTGCACACGTGGTACGCGTGCGCAGCCCTGATCAAGTCCATCTGGGCCATGGCTATCAGCCAGCACCAGTTCTACCTGGACCGAAAGCAGAGCAAGGTAAGCGAGCAGCCTCCCACGCTGGAGCTCAGGGCTGGAACGGCTGGTGGGGAGGCCGTGTCCTTGGCCCGAGCCACACGCAGGTGCAGACTTGCCTCGCCAGGCCACATGGGAGGAACAGACCGTCCTTATGGAGCGATTCCTGCCCTCGCAGGGGCCTCCGCACTGCAGAGGGGCCGAACTGCTGGGGACCTAGGAGACTGCCAGGAGCCAGCAGCCCGACCCTCTGGGGGTTTAAATAGTGGCGCATTGTTTTCTTTTTTGAAAAAAATAGTAACTGTTCTACATTAATAGACACCACCTAACAGTTTAGGGTAATTGGTTTGAAAACCCTGCAGGCTTTTCTAACTGCCAACTTCATTTCTAAAAATGCAAAACTGGAAAAGTGAAAAATACACGGAGCAGCAGCCCTGTTTCGCTAAGGTAGGCCTAAGCCTGGGGCGCTGTAAACAGCCCTCAGTCCAGGGAGATTTCGCTGCCCCCAGCCCAGGCGCTGCGCTCTGGTGGGTGGAAGGATGAGCCGTGAGCCCCTGAGTCGCGCTGGTTCCCACGCGGCTTCTGGCCACACCCTGCCCGGTTCCTCCGCCACGGGCAACGCCCACTCCCATGCTCAGGGGCGGGGCTCTGCCAGAGTGGGCCCAAGTGTAGAGCAGGACCCGGCCCGGGAGCTCAGGTCTAGAGCAGGACCTGGCCCGCCCTAGGCCCGCGGCTCCCAGCGCCCTGAAGGAGAGGCCCCTCCAGGCAGGAGAGGCAGGACTCCTCTCACCGGCCCGGAGCGAGCGCTTTCCCGCTTGGCGTATTTCCCTTCTGTGTGGCGCCTCACTGGTCACATGGGAGCTGGGAGAAAGACAGGAAGACACAAGCCACCCCTCCGGCCCAATTCCAGCTTTAAGCGGGGCTGTCCCTGGGTGCTGCTCTCCCCTTTGGCAAGCATTGGCCTCATTTCCCCAGCCCCCTTCCTGACCCCTCTCTGCTCACTCTCTGCTGTGGCCCAGTGAGGGGCAGCATTTCTGTGGTGGGAACCTTGAGAGTTCCTCACTGTCCTGTTGACGGTGGGCCCTGGCCCTGGAATCGGAAGCTTGACTGGATCTAGAGAAACTCGGCCCGAGGGGTCTGACTCACGCTGCAGGGGAGACAGCGGGCAGTGCCAGCACTCTGCTCCCTTGTGGCCAGAGTCGGAGGTCAGCAGCTGGAACGCGATCGGTCCTCGTTGGGGGTGACGGGTGGAGGGCCGGGCAGTTCTGAACCCCACTGCCAGTCCCTCTGCGGGGCAGACCCCCCACTGATGGCACAGTCTGGGGAGGGAGCCGGAATAGCACGTTTCCCGAAGGACGGGGTCCCATTGGCTGTGTGAAGCCCCGCCCCGTGCTGGTTTCCCACCTGGAGGGCCTCAGTCATCTCCAGCGGCCTTGTCAGCCCCTCACAGGTGGCCCTACAAGTGAGCCTCCGAGAGAGATGCTCCCAGTCACTTATGAACAAGAGGTGTCTTTCAAGAGCCAAATCCAGACGCCACAGCTCTCCGAAGATCTCTGCTGTCCCTCTCAGCAACCCTGGAGGACAAAGGGAAACGCCCGTGCTCCTGGGCGGAGCATTTTCCACAAGAGCTTGGCGGGCTCACAGATGCTCACGAAGTGCAGGCTTTGCCCTTCTCCTGGGAACCGGTTCTGTGTCTCCCAGACGGGGGAGGAGCGAGTTCCCTGCCCCGCTAGGAAGTTTGGGGACTGTGCTTTCCAGCCCTGTGACCTTGGGCAGGCCTGCTCTCACACATGCTTTGCTTTCCTACTTAGAAGACAGAAAAGAAATTCCTGACCTAAATTAGTAATTGGTCAGACAACGCAGTGTTTGTGCAATTGCTTTAGGAAACGTGTGCTGCCCTTTATTATCATCACCTCGAATCTAGCATACCGTGCCCTGGCCAGCGCTTGCATCAAGTTGAAATTCTCAAGAAAGTCCTGAATTGAATCAGAGGAGCTGAAATCCCTGGTGGGAAAGAACACCCCACCGTTCCTTTCTGGAGCATGGCCTCTGGGTGAGGGTGGCCCGCAGGCCCGGGTGAAATGCCGCACATATTTCTGGAGAGCCCATGGGGGCTGGCACCCTGGCACGGTTTCACACCACTGTGGGGCCGGGCCCACTGTTCCTTCGTGTGAAGTCTTCGGCAAGGCCCTGGCCTCCCAGGCGATGTTCACCAGCCCCAGGGAGACAAGTGCGGTCTAGTGGTCTGAGTCAGCCAGGAGGGGCCAAGCGGTCTCCTGCTGCTCCCTGACAGCCAGCACGCCTCTGTCCGCCACCACCCGTTCCCCATCAGGCCCTCACACGCACGCATGCAAAGGGGCCCTCGCACCAACAAACGAGGGGGAAGGCTCTGCTGGTTGGGGTCTCGGGACTCCTTCAGTGCAAGCAGCTAGGTGGGCACTTGTTATACTAGCAGCTCATACGTGCAGACCCTGAAGAGGAGAAGCATTGTCATCCAGAGCCAAGCAGTGTCTTGTGGACTCCGGAGGGAAATATTCAAACACTGACATTACTTAGGAAACATCAGCTCTCAGATTAAGGTCTTCTGCAATTGGCCTCCGACCCGACATCTTTCCTCCTTGCTAGTCTGTTTTCCTCCCTTTTGCCTGATCTAGTCTGCTATTCTTTATCCCATTTAGAGTCAAAAGGATTCAGCGTAGTAGGGAAAAGAAACCCTTGCCCACAGAAGAGCAGTGACAGAACTGGGTGATGTTTATAAGGCAAAACCCCAGGGCAAGCAAGCATTGGGAAGCTTGAGAACTCGGGGGCTGGCCGAGAGGCCGGGCTGGGGGAGGGTCCTCCGGAGGCTCGTCTCCCTGCAGCTCTCTCTCCACACAGGCTGTCGGTCACTCTGATGGTCGAAGCAAGTCCAGCAAGTCCCAAGGCTCCTGGGAATCGCAGCTCCCTGAGAAAGGGCACCTGCTCTTCCCTGCCCCATGTCTTTCTTTTCTGCCTACGAGACTGATGTGGGACAGGAGAGGCGGCTCTCCATGTGATCAGTGAGGGCCTTAAAACACCAGGTCAAGCCATCATCTGGCAAGTTACTTCCAGGTTCTCTTTTACACCCTATTGCTGTTGCCATCGCTGCGACGTACTTTGTCTTAGTCCTCACCCTGCCCCTGTGCTGTGGGCTCTGAGGTCTCCATGCTACAACTGGAGCCTGAGGACGGAGAGGTCAGGTTCGTCAGAAAAGGCAGGACTGCGATCTGGGCCTCAGGAGTTGGGCCAGGTGGTTGTTTAAGTGCGGCCTCCTTTTATGAAGCATGAGTTTTGGTAAAAGAGCGGGGCAGGGGGAGAGGAAGCTCTGGACTGTGCTCACTGTGTTCGCTTGGAGAATGAAGCACAGCCAGGCGAGTGCTGTCGATATGCTGGGCAGAATGGGTCAGAAGGCTTTTCCTGCACCTGAGGCAAAGCCAGAACCCTGCCAGGGCCGGAAGCAGGGACTGCTTCACAGACAGTGGTGCCCTGACCAGAGGAAGTCAGCGAGCTCTCGAGGCACAGAAGAAAGTTGAGGTTAGGAAGGACAAACAAATCCAAGAGAACAGTGGGAGAGAGAGGGAAGGTGGTTCACACCTGTGAGCCGAGCAAGTGGAGCCTCAGTGCTTCCTCTGGCCCGTAGACGTTCATCTTGTTTGTTAACAGGAAGAAAGCACACAGAGGCGGAAATTGTTATCATTCACCAGTGTGGTCAACAACATCAAGGCCAGAGGAAGGGCAAGGCCCTGGGGGCCCTGACAGCCACTCGACAAACACAAATGAGGCCTGGCTGGCACCCAGCTGCAGGGGAAGACAGCGGGTCAGGGCGAGGAGGCCGTGGCACACTTACCCCTCCCGGGCAGCCTTGGGACCTGCCCTGGTACCTGTTCTTCGGCCACAGCAGGCCAGGTGTGAGCCAGGCACTGAGCAACTGGAAGCCTGGGCTGTGAAGCTCGCCTGGCTCCTTGCTGCTCTGCTCCAGCCCCTGGCCACAGACCATGGCAGAGAAGCAAGTGTGCGGCCAAACCATTGTTTACAGTTGTGCCTGTGACATTCACTGTGTAGCAGAACCCGGTTTCATGAAGAAGAAGATAAAAAGCAAAACACCAAACAACAGCACATGTGGGATATGCATGCACATTTCCACTCTGAAAGTGGGTGACTAAAGCAGGTAGCGGTATCACAGGCAGTCACCTTGGGGAATGTAATTGTGAGTTCAGAGCCCTTTCCAATTATTCTCAGACCGTGGCTGTCGGCCCCATGAGGCCAGTTAACACATGGACAAAGTGAAGTGGAGTTCGAACAGTAGCATGGCAACTTTGGAACATGCATTTAGACATCAAGATAGAGGCAGAGCCCAGGTGACGTGCTTTCGAGGGGGAGGCAGGAGTCTCAGTCACTTTTGCTAGGACTCAATACCTGGCCCCTGCAAATGGAAGGAGGAGAGCTTTACTTTGGCTCACGTTTTTAGCCCACAGCTGGCTGGTTCCAAGGCAGAAAGGAGTGGCACAAGGGCCTGGGCAGGGGGTGGGCGCTTGTGTCCTGGCCCAGGAAGCAGAGTCAAGGGAGCAACCAGAAGGAAGACGCAGCCTTCCAGGCCACACCCACAGTGACCTGCCGCTTCCTGCCAGGCCCAACTCCTGACAGCAGTTCAGCTGTAATCCCTGTAATCCAGCCACCACCAAAGGCCCAGCACGGGAGGCTGAAGGGGGCATTGATATAAATCCTAGCCAAGGGAGATTAATTCAGAAGCTTCTGTCACGCATGCAGGTCCAGGGCAGTGACATGCTCTCCTCTAAGTGTCTCTGCTCGCATGACTAAACTGGCGAGGCTCTAATCATTACCAAATTTATTGGAATTTCATGGTTTTTAACATACGTCATTCAGAAAGTTGGAAACTATTTAAGCATGAAACAGTTATAGTCACACCTCATAATCGATTGCTGTGTCAGGCGGACAAGAAGGGAGAAGAGGAGGAAGGAGTGAGCGCCCTGGACACTCCTCAAGCCCCTGACCTGGCCCTCTCCGGGCCAGCAGGCGGCATCTTCCGTGGTTCATGCTGGGAGGAGGAGGCTTGTGAGACTGGGGAGCTTCTCCAGAGCCAGACCCAAGTCCCTGCTGTCCACGCGGCGCCCAGTGCAGCCTACCGAACCCCAGGCTGAGGATCCTTCGGGGTTTGAGTAGCTCATCGGCGACTCTGCTCCTTCTGGGAGTCCTGGTGACAGCAGTTGGGATGAGGGACACAGCTGCATGCCTGGGCTGAGCTAGTTTGCTGATTTGGGGACTTTGGTTGGGCAGGGGTTTCTGTTCCCCCTTCAAGGTGAGCGTGTGCTCCATAACCTGCCGGCCTCTTCCTTCCAGTCCAAGATTCATGCAGCCCGAAGTCTGAGCGAGATCGCCATCGACCTGACCGAGACAGGCACACTGAAGACCTCCAAGCTGGCCAACATGGGGAGCAAGGGCAAGATCATCAGCGGCAGCAGTGGCAGCCTGCTGTCCTCAGGTAGGGCTGGCTTCGAGCGAGCGTGGTGGGGGCTCACAGATGCCCTGAGGGCGGGCGCCAGGGGAGGGGACAGCAGACGGGCATCTCACAGGTGACAGAAGGACAAGTGCATGTTGTCTCTGAGAGCAGGAGATGCCATCGGTGTTATTTCTGTATGCCTCAGGCAGGCCGTTAGTCCCCATCGGCTGGCTTCAAGAGGAGGGATGCCACCTGCTGACAACAGCAGAGGCGCGGGTTGGAGAGGCAGGGAGGGAATCTGCAGTGTGAGATGTGAGAGGAGGTCACTCGAGGGCCACACGCTCGAAGCCTGATTGATGGGGATCAGTTTGCCTCTGAGCCAGAAAGCCACGCATGAAGTCTGTGCCCTGCCGTCTTCAAGGTCATTTCTAAAATTATACATGGCGTCTGCAGGCACCAACAGCACATTTGTAAAAGGAAAGGAGAGAAGAGGAAGCGGGGGGAAGGTAAACATTGTCTTGGTTTCTGGGCTGGCGTTGTCAGTCACTGCCAGGAAGCAGGGACTGGAGAGACGCCTTTCCTGAGGCGTTTGCTGTGGGCTGAGGGAGGCGCTCTTGGCCACACCGTGGACCTAGTGGTGTGTTCCTTCACACGCTCATGTGTCGCGCATTGTTTGTCCTAAATGGAACACCAACATTATTGGAGCTTCGGGCCCCAATTTAAAAAAATGGGGCGAAATGATCATTCTTTTTGAGCCTTGGAGATTTTCAAGGAAGACTGCAGAGAATGTTGTCGCTTCTGTTAGAATGCCATTCAAAGTTTAAAGCCCTGCCTGGAATTACAGCCACTCCCAGACGCCCGCTGAATGGCAAGGGCAAAGCCAAAGCCAGTTACTTGTTTGTCTTTTAGACAACACAATAGCCTTTCCTAGACCCTGTGAAACCCAGAGCCTCGAATCCCAGTTTGGACGGGTCAGCTCCCTGTCTCCTGTTCCAGTCCCAGGGAATCCAGCCCCGCAGCTTGGGTTCTTCCAGCTCGGGTTCCTAGATATGCATCTGAACTGCTTGGGGAGTATGGAAACCAACCGAGTGCTCCGGTCCCCCTCCCTGAGATTCCAGGAGGTCAGAGTAGGCCGGAAATGAGTTTGCATCTCCAGCAAGTTCTGGGGCAGGCAGTGCTGCTGATCCAGGCACTGTACTTGGGAGCCACTCTTCTCGCTGAAGGAGAGATGACAGCTTAAAGTCATGGAACCCAGCTGTCCCCAGTCAAGCCTGTGTCCCGGTCCATCTACCTAAGAGGCCACCTCCAGGGGCCCAAAGCGTCCCCTACCAGCAGCTGTTGATGATGTTTTTAACAGGAGCCCCTCCCTCCTCAGATGAAACAAGCATCTTTAAGACTAGCAGGCAGCCAGTCTATCACTGCCATCAGGTGGACACTACTAGGAATAAGTCACAGTAAAACCGTCCTGTCAAATCCACACCTACACCTAAGATGTACACGATGTGACTGAAAGATGTGGTAGAAGTTTAAACTTTTAAAAAGTAGATTACAGTGAAAGACACATTGTCACTAAAGACTAAAGACTACTACTTCATTGTCCTGAATCGATTCCAAACCGTTACCTCTCATGGTCATTTTGACTTTAGGGAAAGCCAGAAATTGTGCAGAGGTGAATAACGCAGTTGACACACCTCACGTTCTCACCAGCCTGCCTTTGGATGGTGCTCAGCAGCAGCATCCATCATGCTTTTGATCACAACTTGAAAAGACGCTCATGAAAGAGGAGTCCAGAGCTGCATCCAAAGTGCCAAGATCGAGGGGAAAGTGCGTTTGAAGTGAGGGAGTATTTTGAGGAGGTTAATGGCAGTGGGGCTTCACTGTGATAAATATCCCAACATTCCTTGTATACTCTCATCGCTCCTCCTAAGCATCTCTCTCCCACGATGTCAGAGCCGTTTTCCAGTGTTCAGTAATGCAGTGCTGGGCCCCACACACAGGTGGTCAGGAGTTGATAGAGGCAGCTCAGGCCTCTGCAGAATGGCTCCAATTGTGGGTTTCGCCCCCTCAGCCCTTTCTGCTGCTGCTCAGCTAGGCGGGAAGAAACGCAGACTGAAGAGGAGGCCCCAGGACTAGACCAGGGCGCAGGGCAGCCTCTTTGGAGCACTGCCAGTTCAAGCCTGGAGAACATCTCTGAGTGCCAGGACTGAGGGTCCTGGGGATGGCCCTGGGGGCCCCGCCTGGAAAGGAGCCACTCCACATCCTGCACACCGGGAAACCTATTCCATTCCCCTAGTGCTGGCCTGAGAACTGAGGCAGCTGGCTGGGCTTCCTCCCCTTGCTTTCGGTCCTTTCTGTCCCCTTGCCCCGTGCTCCCACAGATAGGACACCCCCATGGGGTTACGGGACAGCCTTGATTTTAAGCACCCTTTGTTACCCGTGCCTGACCCTGCATTCAAACTGGAACTCAGAAAATGTGACACAGACAACCCAGTATCTGATCCGATAACTGTTTTCTGTCCTTCCCACTCTTACTCAGTGGTGTCTAATGAAAGTTCCTAAAAGCATGTTGAGAACCTAGTCACCATTTGGAAGTCCTCTTTCTTAACCCTAGCCCAGGGGACTAGGACCTGCCAGATGCTCGGTACAGTTATGGAACTGACGTTTTGGAAAACACTGGTAACAAGGCCTACGTGTGCCGGACCGCAGTACTCTGGGAGGTTGCAGCAGGAAGATCCTAAATTCAAGCCCAGCCTGGGGAACTTAGCAACCGAGTGAGACCCTTTCTCAAAATATGGAAAAAAGGGGCTGAGGAGGTAGTCAGTGTGAAGAGCCTGGGTTCAGTCAGTCGATCAGCAGAATCCTGCACATTCCCAGAGCGTGTGGCGTCTTCGGCCTTCCTGAGAGCCTGCCTGCGACTTGCCACCAGTGGTCTCCCTCACCCTGTCCTGGTCACCCGGTATTAGACTTTCCAAGGTCACGCGTGTCAGTCAGACTCCTGCTGCAGGTGTCTCCATCTGTCCTTCTGGCCCCTCTGTACGCACACACCTGACACATGCACCTGACCCATGTAGCAGCCCCCTCAGCTCTGTGGTGTAAGCAGTGCTTTGTTCTTTTAGCCAGGCATGGTGGTACATGCCTATAATCCCAGCTACTTGGGATTGAGATTCTGAACCAGGAGGATCACAGGTTCCAGTCTGGGGAGTTAGCAAGGCATTTCAGAAAGAAAAAGTAGTAAAACAGCCCCGGCCGGCACAGTAGCGGTGGAGACCCCTAGTGGCCCTGGCAGGCGGAGCTGGGGCAGCTGGGGTTGCTGCTGGAGCCTTGGCCGACCTGGGGAAAGCGCTCTTCCCTGCAGTGTTGAGGAAGAGCCCAGGCATCGCCGCCTGCCTTGAGACCTCTGCCCACTGCTGCTGCACAGAGGTGCTTCCGCTAGCCACTTCTAAAAGGCTCAGGCACAGCTCTGCCTGTACCATTTGGTTAACACGTTTCCAGGGCTGTTTTCTTTAAAGGAGCTCAAAATCCTTCTTGTAGGTCCTTCAGCGTGTTTATTCCTCCCTTCCCTTCCCTTATTGCTTGAAATCCCAGAAAAGATGGGGCGGGGGGGTGACAAAAGAAAAACTACCAGCAGCGCAGCACGTGTCTTACATGTTACATCGCTGTGTGAGCCCGGGCGTGGGAGATCTACCCCAGCCGTGCTGTCAGTGCAGGCCGGCCGCTGCTGAGGGAAAAGGTGCAGACGCCCTCAGAAGCCCAGCCTCTGCAGGGCCGTGTGACTCTGGGCATTAACCAGGCAAACAGAACACCTGCCCCCGTCCCACACGGGAGGAGGAGACGGCAGTGGCTGCTTGGATGGGAACAGGGGCGCCGGCTGCCCGTGGCCTGCAGAACAGAGCTGTGTTGTCTGCATGCAAAGCACAGGGTTTGGCTGTGTGGTCTGTGAGGTGGCAGTTGGGTCGTCTTCAGTGTGATCAGCAGGATGGTGAAGAATACGGTAATGCACCTTTGGTTAAAAAAGATAAAAGTACAACAAAACTACAGCCACTCTCCGTGCTGGGAAAGCATGCTATGCTCCGCCGCCCAGCCTTGCCTGGGCTTGGCATCAGCGGGCGGCACATGGTCCCGCCTGCCCGCAGGCACTTCCACCCATGGGGGAGGGTCGACTAATAGCTGGAGGACTGAGGGTGCCAGCCGTCCCTCTGCCTACCGAGAGGTGACCTGACTGGCGCCTGCCAGTTCTGGGCCTGCTGTGGTCAGCTCGAGAGGCACTGCCTCACCCCGGCATAAATCACGCGCTGCTCTTGTCTTATTCGGTTACTGCCTACATCCTTTCTCCTTTTGTTGCCCCCACTCTGTCTCCTTTCTGACACTCTGGCCTTTTAAAGTTCTCTGTAATTGTCTGGCTGTTGCCTCTCCTTTTAGGTCTGACGGTCAGAGGAGGCCGGGCCGTAATTTTGGTCAGAATCTCAACTGCTGCTGGGCCCTGCCCACCAGGCGCTGCCAGAGGGGTCGCTGCCCGGGCTTGTTTACGCCAGGCCCTCTCCCCCTGTGCTGGATGTTCCTGGACTCCTTTCAGCAAGACTCGCCTGGGTGGAAATTGAGGGAGACAGAAAGGTTGCTCCTGCTCCTACTTTAGGAAAAGTCACTTATGCAGCTACATTTACGTCCTCGGGTGTTCTAGTAAAGGAGTTCTGCAGAGAACCGGGACAGGACAATGTGTACGTTAAGTGGGTGGCTTTCCAAAGATGTGACTGATAAACACCAGAGGAGAGCTCTTCCTCACCCCTCAGAGGCAGTGCTCTGCTCCCCCTTAGCAAGCTCTGTGTTCGGGTTCCCTTCACTGGGTTCGCTGCGGTTTTCGGTTACTGTCTAAACCTCCATATTGCGAGTGGCAGTTCTGGAACCAGAAAGATCAGCTCCCTCACTTCTCAGATTAGGAATGGACCCCAGCAGAGTGGTGCATGCCTGTATCCTGCCACTCAGGAGGCCGAGGGAGGAGGATCACAAGTTCAAGGCCAGACTAGGCAACTTAGCAAGACTTTCTC